AAACCTTTAACAATAACAACAATAACGGGGGAAAAGAAACAAATGAAAAATAAAAAAAAAAAAAAAAAAAAAAATTAAATCGCCCCAATTAAAAAATAGAAAAAAAAACTTTCAACCGATAAATTTTTTTTTTTTTTCTTTTTTTTAAATACAATTTCATTGAAAACATTTTTTTTTTTTTTTCGTTTTGACGAAAAACAATTTAAACATTTAAACATTTACAATTTAAAAAAAAAAATTACCCAATCGAACATAAAAAAAAAAAGAAAAAAAAAAGGGAAAACAATAAAACTCAGTTGTAAAAGAGGAACCGCATAACTTTTCCGCCGACTAATATAAATTTCTTTTTTTTATTATTACTTTTCGATTTGAAATTTTTTTTACGAACAGGGGCAGAGGGGGAGGAGGGGAGGTAAGGGAAGGGGGCGGGGAAAATTGCAGAAATATTTTCAAGATGTTTATTATGCAACAATCCTACTATTAGAAACGAATCAATTTATAACAAAACAAATGCTAGTAACGAAAAAAAAATGGAAAAAGTAAAAACATTAAATTTTAATTGTTTTTCCTAATTAATTAATTAATTAATTTTCCAAACGAAATGTATCTTAATAAATAAATGTTATTAATCCGGTCATTCTCGTCGTAATTGTTTTGTGTAATAAATTTAAAAAAAAAAAAAAATTATTAAATGGATTTTATAATGTAAACATTAATTGTTTGAATGAATTATACAAGAATCGCTAAGGTAAAAAGATTTACATTTAAATGGGAATACCTTACGGGATTATTCGCTAATAATGATAATGATAATAAATTTCACGCTTTACAATTATTTAAAATTACGCGATAACTCATATCAATCAAAAAAAAGTGTAATTCGACCTAAAATTTAAATTTTACTTATTTTATCTTTATTCATTAGGTTTATATTATTATCATCGTCATTACTCAAAAGGTCAGTAACGTCACCCAATTTTTTTTTTTTTACTCATTTGCTAAGCAAAGAAAATGACGTTATGGAAAATATTTATATATATTATTTTTCCTTATTTGTATATTTAGTAATTACGTCAACGATTTCAACGATGACGACACGAATAACCACCGATAACACGAAAAAAAAAAAAAAAAAAAAGCAAACAATAGGTACGCTAAAAAAAAACATGAACGAATAACCGGACTTGCGCGCTTAGGGCAAATTTTTTTTTTTTTTTTGCAAAAAAAACAGCGAGATGAATAATTCTGTCAGGTAATTGTTAAATTACCACCATTCCTCACTACCACTCCCCAATCATCAATCAACAATGAGAAGAGTTTGTAGGGGGGGGCGGGAGGGAAATAAAAACCTCATTCGAGTGACCGATTTCAGCCTTGGATTTTTTAATTTACCAAACCATTGTTTCCATTGTACCAGGGAAACCTAAACAGTCATCAAAATCACGCCGAAAATTTTTTTTAAAAGAGAAGAAAACAGGCCGAATAGCAGACGAGTCGCCATCCCCACCCCCACCATCACCACCGCTAGACAAACATCGTCCGTCGGTTGTTGTTGTTGTTGTTATCGTTACCTTGGTTTTGTTTCATAAATTTTATAATAATAATTAATTTTCGGAGGAGAAAAATAAAAAAAAAAACCGACAAATCCAATTTAAGGTCAAATCATCAATTAAGTTATTTCATCTCAACGCTCCCGGGTAATAAATATATAAAAATAAATTTTTTTGAAACCCTGAAAAGGACTATATATATATATTTTATTATTATTATTATTACTAAAGATTGATGAAATTTTCTACCTTTCGAACGGATACTCGTACGGCACAACGCTCTAAAACGCCGGTCGAAGCGTTCGCACTCATTTTACAAACGAATTCAAATTTTGCGCCCCATTTCACCGTGTGATTTTGAACTTCTTTCCTGAAAATTTAATTTAAAAAAAAAAAAAAAATTATAATATTAATAATAATCGAAAGTGGAAGCCATATTAAATGATCAGCACATCCCTTTAAATTTTCTTTTTTTTTCTCAAAACAAACACGTTAAAGTAAAACCAAAAAAAAAAATATTTTTAATTTTCTAACTTTAAATTTAAAAAAAAAAAAAAATATCCTTTATAATTCAGTTATTTGACTTCATATTATTAATAATAATAATAATGATAAAAAATATTTAAAAAAAAATAAAAAAACTGGTTCTGGATATCAAAAGAATTCGAGTTCCAGTTTTACTCGTGATGAACTCATACGCAGCAATGTTAAACCCCCCCCCCCCCCAACAACAACAATACAAAATAAGTCGAAACAAAGTTAGTTTATTATTATTATTATTATTATTATTATTATTATTATTATTTGAAAAAATAATGATAATAATAATTTGAATTTACGAGAAGGATTAAAAGCAACATAAATACAGTTTTTTTTTTTTAATATTAGTACATGATCCGTTACACTCGTTCGTAATTTTTTTTAATAATTTGAATTAAATCTAAATGCACCGCACCCTCCCTCTCCCCCTCCTTGACGCTACTTTGCAATAAATTTTCACAAAAATGTAAAATGGAAAATGTAAAAATTGTCAAAAACAACATACACTCTTAAATCACGATGACAAAAAAAAATTAAATAAATAAAGTTTCGAAACAATATACATACATCAAAGGATTTTAAAACGTGTCCTGAACGTTGGGTGATACGTATACATACATACATACATAATAATGATAATAATGATAAATTTTATCAATCCGTCGGCAATGTCAAATAAAAAAATCACAACTATATAACGAGGTATATAAAACCTGATTGAAATTACCTTAAAACGTAATTCAGTGATAAAAACTTACACGCACACACACGCGCGAATTTATGCGAATTTCTATCACAGATAGAAAAAGGTGAACCACTCATACCTAAAAAAAAAAAAACCTACCTTAGAAAAGAGAGACCTTAAAATAAATCTTTTTCAACAACAACAACTACACGTATATAGTACAGTACAAATAAATTTTTTTTTTTTTTTATTCAAATAGTTGTTGTTGTTGTAAAAAACTCAAAAAAAAAAAAAAGTGAAACATTAATGATATGTCTTGGTCAGTAAAAAAAAAAAAAAAAAAAAAAAAAAAAAACAAATAAACCAAAGGGGTAGGCGTATATGTATGTAAAAGCGAAGGGGGGCGCGGCCCCCGTTTGTAAAAAAAATTGACGTAATTTAAATACCGAAAGGTGGTGGTGACCAACCGCCACCGATTGTGTAAATCACGTTCAACCGCCAATCCCCTTTAATTTCCTTAAAACGTAATCAAAAGGTCTTTAAGTTTTTCTTTTTTTTTTCTTTTTTTTTTACCGGAAGTAAACCGCAAAATCTATTCTTTTAAAAAAATTTTTCTTGTGAAAAGAGAAAACCAATGAAGAATTGTTACTTTCGTATAAACGTATTCATCTGAATCAAAACAATCATTTATCACTTTTTTTTTGCATTATAAAAAAAGAAAGAAAAACGAATAACGGGGGCTACGGGGGGAAGGGAGGGGGCGGGAAAACCGTGAAAACTAAATTACATTTCACATGGATTTATTCTTGCAAATTTTACACTTTTTTTTTTATTTAACATCGTTTAAAAAAAACGATGAACGAAATAAAAGCATTTAATTTACCTAAACAAGGTCAAATTAATTTTTTTCAATAATTGATTCATTCAAACAGACAAAGGAAAAAATTTTTTTTTTTTTACCATTTCCAGATTTGAGAAATAATAATAATGATAATGCTGCTCATGACTAAAAATAATTCTTTTTTAATTGCGAGTAATTTACATTTTTTATTACGAAATTAAAAAATTAAAAAAATTCGTCTTAGTTAAAATAGGAAAAAAAGAAAATTTTTTTTGCACGCGATAAAGGAAAAACCTTGAAAGTCAACAACAACAACAGCAACAACGAGAGAAAACTACCCCTTTTTCGGGGTGTTTGTGTTTTTTTTTCCTTCGAAACCATTAATAATTTTAAACAAATTTAATAATAAAAGTGTAAACATTTTTATTATTTAATCGTTTGAGGACGAATTTTTTTATTTTCAATCACGCGACTCCATGTTTATTCCTATCCGTGACACTTAAAAAAATAAATTTCTTACGCGATGACTGATTTTTTTTTTCGAAAATAAATAAAATAATAATAATAATAATAATAAATTAAAATTCGACCTTACGAAAAAATTGTCAATCGACAAAAACAAACAAATAAATATAAAGTACGTGGAAAAAAAATAAAATAAAATAAAAAATAAAAAAAGTGACATTGAACGGCAGGACGGCGAAGAAAAAAAAAATGGCGACGTTTTTACACGTAATAATCCCTCATTTGGGCCATTCCACTCGTTTTACGCGACCGTTACGAAAATATAAATAAATTCACGAGAAAAATGGAAAATTCGAGGGAATCCCCTTATTATTATTTAATAAGTTTTGAAATGTATATTATAAACAAAAAAAAAAAAATTAAATGCGTTAATTACAATATTAATAATAATATTTTGTTAATTTCTCAGAATTTCGTCGTCTCTTATTATTATTATTATTAGGTTAAATTGATATTCATTAAACTCGCCATGGTTAGAAAAAAAAATAATAATAATAATAATAACGTTAATTTATTTATTTCCCTTTTTTTCCGTTTTTTAAATACATACGTCGTTTAATTTATAACACAAAGACGATGAAAATCCATTAACACTTTCACCCACATAAACACGCGCACGCACACACACACACACACATATTATTAAATTCCCCACGCAATTTAATAATAATAATATTTATAAAATATGAGTAATAATAATAATAATAATAGTTACGAAAATAAATTTGAATAAAATAAAATAATCTTCCGGTTTAATTAAATTGAAATTAAATTCGAAAAAAAAAAGAAAAAAATTCCGAGCGAAGTGAGAAAATTTTCTTTTCTTTTTTTTTTTAAACTTAAATTTCGTTATTAAAAATAATAATTCAATGCCTGAACCTGTTTTCATTTTTTCTTTCTTTCTTTCACTTTCACTAAATTTAATCTCGACTGGATTTATTTATTAACAATGTATTAAAAAAAAAAAATTTAAAATATATTTATTAATCTTTTCCAAACTTTCCATATAACTGGAAAAATATTTTTTTTTAAAAATATCAATTTTTTTTTTTTTTTACGTAAACGATATTTAAAATTTAAATAATGGAAACAAGAGAGTATTTTTTTTGTTTGTTTGTTTGTTTGTAAGTTTGTTTTCTCAATTCAATTACGTTTTTGAAAAATCAAATTTTCTTTAACAAACCAAAACCAAAACCAAATGAATGATGATAATTTTGTATCGGAAAAACAAATTTTTTTTTTTTTTTGCTGTGGTTTTTTCACTTTTCTCCCCTTGAATATTTTTAAAATAAAATCTAAGAAAATTTGAAATTACGTCACTAAAATAAAATAAGTAAATTTTTATATAATAACTCAAAATTTAAATAAAAAAAAAACCCAGAAGGTAATTTTTCTAATTTTTAAAAGTCTCATTGTCAACAGGTGAATTTTTTTCCACCACATTTTTTTTTTTTTTTTGTACGGCCTTAAAAACTCGATTAAAAACCTTGTTTTACTATTTTTTTTTTTCAACATTTTCCCCCCGTGATAATGATAATAATAAGTTATTAATTAACATACATAATAATTATTAAATATTTTAATAAATTAATTGCCAAATATTTTAAAAAAACTCTTATTATTATTACTTCGGGTAATAAATTAATAAAATTTTTTTTTTATAACTAACTAACCATGTGTGACGTGTAAAAAAAATTTGATTAAAAGTGATATCTATAAAATTTTTTAAATGATTAATTCCACTCATATTTTTCTTATAAATAAAATTATCATTTTACATTAAGACAATTCAAAAATTGACGCCATTTTCCATCTTTATATATATGGGGCACAGGTAAAAGAAAATTTTCTTTTTTTTTTTTTTGTGTAATTATATTTTCCAACTTAAAAAAAAATTTGATTTGACGAATGCTCAATATATATAATCATTTAAAACAAATTAATAATAATAATAATAATAATAATAATAATAATAATAATAATAATTAGAAAAAACAATTAAAATTTTTCGAATTTTTTTCCTTTTTCTTTTTTTAAAAAAAATCCATTAGAAAAAAAAAGTGTAGTTAAGAATTTATTATTATTAAAAAAAAAAAAAAAAGAAAATTCTTTACCAACAGCGCAATTTTCCCTTTTATTATTATCATTATTATTATTATTTTCTACCCAGAAAGGAAAATTAATAAAAATAAAAGAAAAAATTAAAAATCTAATAATATTTAACAATGGTTTTTACCGGAAGTAAAATATTTAAATGATAAAATTTTCTCCGTGTTAACCTCGTGTTTTCCATTTCTTTCTTTCTCTCTCTCAAAAATTTGCATTTAAACCTTTTTTTCCCAGCCTCCCCAAAACAAAAAAAAAAAAAAAAATTTTTTTTTTTTTTTCCAATTCATTCAATAACACGGATCGTATGAAGAATTTAAATTTTCTCTTTATTAATTTTTTTCAAGGGAGAAAATGGGAAGGGGGGTTCAGGGAAAAGAAGGGAATTGAGTTTTCCATGCGGGTCAAAATCTTATTTAAAAAAAAAAAAAGTTAAAGCGGGAAAAGAAAAAAAAAAACGTAATTTTTAAATTTTTTGTTTTTGTTGTTGTTGCGGTTTTCACTCTGCAATCAATTTTCCCGTAGCTTTTTAAATAAAAAAAAAAAAAAACGTCGCGAAAATAATAATAATGATAATGATAATAATGATAATAATAATTTTCACACACGACGACA